ACTTTCGTAAGTTTTTTAAGTAATCAATACAAGCTATAAAAGTTTTTCTATAAGTAGACACGATTGCAAACTATGCAAAAACGCTTCATGATATTCATAGACTGAATCACTTCGCAAAAATCGTATTTTTTTTCGAGCAAACTTTAATTCAAGCTCTGAAACTTAAAAACATATCAAGTTGTACATAAACTGATTTGGGTCGCAAAAATTGAAATTTTTTCACAAAAGTACTCAAGCTGTGAAACATAAGCTTGGGATCCAAGCTATGAAACATAAGAAAGGTTCTCAAGCTGTTTTCAAGCTTTAAAAAATTTTAAAAAATTCAATGGACGAAATTGGTTTTTGAAAAGTATAGTTTCTGTATGCGAGCTACTCCAGTTTGACTTTTGAAATGTTTCAAGTTAATTCGTAGACATAACAAATTAGCAAAGAAGATCTAAGACTTTGAAAATTTTAATAATGATCATAGATTGAATCGGTTTGCAAAAATCGTAATTTTTTTTCTCAAGATTTTCCAGCTATGAAATTCAGAAAAATTTTCAAGTTTTTTATAAGCTGAACAGCTTCGCAACCGGAATAAGATTTTCTAAAGAAGTGAACTATAAAACTTATAAAAGTTTCAAATAAAATCATAGACTGAATTCTTCCGTGATAAAATAGTGTTTTAAAAAAAATTAATCCAGCTAAGAAAATTTGAAAGTTTTCATTTCGTTCATAGTCTGAATCAATTTGAAACTTTCGTAAGTTTTTTAAGTAATCAATACAAGCTATGAAAGTTTTTCTATAAGTAGATACGATTGCAAACTATGCAAAAACGCTTCATGATATTCATAGACTGAATCACTTCGCAAAAATCGTATTTTTTTTCGAGCAAACTTTTATTCAAGCTCTGAAACTTAAAAACATATCAAGTTGTACATAGACTGATTTGGGTCGCAAAAATCGAAATTTTTTCACAAAAGTATTCAAGCTGTGAAACATAAGCTTGGGATTCAAGCTATGAAACATGAGAAAGGTTCTCAAGCTGTTTTCAAGCTTTAAAAAATTTTAAAAAATTCAATGGACGAAATTGGTTTTTGAAAAGTATAGTTTCTGTATGCGAGCTACTCCAGTTTGACTTTTGAAAGGTTTGCAAAAATCGTAATTTTTTTTCTCAAGATTTTCAAGCTATGAAATTCAGAAAAAAATTTCAAGTTTTTTTATAAGCTGAACAGCTTCGCAACCAGAATAGGATTTTCTAAAGAAGTGAACTAAAAAACTTATAAAAGTTTCAAATAAAATCATAGACTGAATTCTTCCGTGATAAAATAGTTTTTTGAAAAAAAATTTATCCAGCTAAGAAACTTTGAAACTTTTCATTTCGTTCATAGTCTGAATCAATTTGAAATTTTCGTAAATTTTTCATGTAATCAGTTCAAGCTTTGAAAGTTTTTCTTTAAGTGAATACGATTGCAAACTAAGCAAAAACGCTTCATGATGTTCATAGACTGAATCAGTTAGCAAAAATGATAAATGTTTTACGCAAGTTTTTCAAGCTATGAAAAATTGAAATTTTTAAAAGTTTTTTTTTGTAGAATGAACTGGTTTGCGAGAAGTGTAAGTTTTTGTAAGCAAGCTCTTCCAGCTATGAAACTTTGAAAAACAACTTCAATTTAATCAAAGACTGAATCGGCTCGTGAAAGTAGTTAGTTATTTTGAGAAAGCTATTCAAGCTATGAATTTATTTCAAGTCAATTTTTTGACAGTACCAGTTCGCAAAAATTTCAAGTTGTTTTAGACAGAATTGGTTCTCAAAATTTTTAAGTTTTCTCAGGAAGCTATTAAAAATGCAAAACTTTGAAATGCCTAATTTCAATCATGCACTGAGTCGGTTTGCAAAACTTTTTACGTTTTTGTAGGAAAAAAATCAATCTTGATTTTTTTCAAGTTTTTCATAGACTGAATCAGTTTGTAAAAACTGTAAAAATTTTTAACCAATTATTATTTCAGCTAGGAATTTTAGAATTTTTTTCAGAGACTAAATTGGCCAGCAAGAATTATAAGTTTTTGAAGCAAGCTATTCCAGCTATGAAGCATCGAAAATTTTTCAAGCCATTTGGTAAAAGATTCAATTGGTTGGCAATTATTTATGTTTTTCTCATGTTTTTCGAGGTGTGAACACTTTGACATATTTCATATTGATCATAGACTGAATATGTTCGTTTGAATCTGTTCGTTTGACTGAATCGGTTCATAGACTGAAAAATCGTTTTTCTAGGAGAGCAATTCAAGCTGTGAAAATTGGACTTTTTTGAAGTTTTTCAGATTGAATCGGTTCGCAAAATAATTAGGTTCCTTCAGCGAGCTATTTAAATTTTGAAATAGTTCATTTTGATCATAGACTGAATCAGTTTGAAAAATTTTATGCGTTTTTTATAGAAATGACATTGAAGCTATGAAACTCTGATTTTTTTAGAAGTAGTTCATAGACTGAATTCCTTCGCAAAAATCCTTCTGCAAATTTTTTCTGACCAAGGTATTCTTTCAATTTATGAAATTTTGAAACAATTTAATTTTTTTCAAAGAGTAATTTGTTTTGCAAAAACCGAGTTTTTTTGAAAAATCTTTTCAAGCTATGACATTTTGAATTGTTTCAACTTATTTCATAGATGGAATTGGTTCTTGAAAATTGTAAGTTTTTCAATGCGAGCTCTTCTAGCTGTGAACTTTGAAACGTTTCAAGTTTTTTCATAGACCGAATCAGTTTGCCAAAAAATATCTTAGCAAGATATTCCACCTTTGAAACTTGAATTGTTTCAACTTATTTTATAGACAAAATTGGTTCTTGAAAATTTTAAGTGTTTCAACGTGAGCTCTTCTAGCTTTAAACTTTGAATCGTTTCGAGTTTTTTCAAAGACCGAATCAGTTTGCCAAAAAATATATCTTAGCAAGATATTTCACCTTTGAAATTTAATTTAATTCAAATTTTTCAAGGATTGAATTGCTTCAAAAGAAGAATAAAGTTTTTTTAAGCAAGTCGTACCAGATATCAAACTTTAAAAAGTTTCAAATTGTTCATAGACTGAGTAATTTCACAAAAATTGTAAACCTACTACGCAGACTGATCAAGCTAAAAAAATTTGAAAAGTTTAAAGTTTTTTGTAGACCGAATTGGTTCACAAAAAACAAACTCTGTGCGATCTATTTCAGCTTTGGTTTTTGAAATTTTTCAAGATACTTCATAAGTCAAATTAATTCGCGAAAAAAAAAACAAAACAGTTTTGAGCAATCTATCCCAGCTATGAAATTGGAATTCAAATTAGGAATTTAAGAAATTTTCAGAGACCAAAATGATTCACGAGAAGTGTAAGTTTTTTAAGCAAGCTCTTCCAGCTATGCAAATTTTAAAAAATTCAAGTTGTTCATAGACTAAATTAGTTCGTAGAAATCTCGTTTACACATATGTTTATGTGTAGTATAATGTTTAAAATTATGTTTTTAATTACTGGTCAACAGAAAAAATCAATCTTAATTACTTTATTGATCAACAACCAGTTGAAATGTTTGGTCTCAGTTGCTGTCAACCCAACTTCGACTTCAAATCCTGTGAGCTTCGATCTCAACATCGATCCCAAATACTGACCTAATTCGATCTGAACTTCGATCCCAAAAACTGATGCAATCCCAAATACTGACTTAAGTCGGCGATATGCTGTGCGTTGTGTTTTCAAACACTCTCAAGCCAAGGACTACAAATATTTAATTTATTCGGTGTTAAGCTTACAAAAGCAGTATTGGGATTGACGTAGTCCCAAATACAGACCTAAATTGGCGATATGCTCTGTGTTGTGTTTCCATACACTCACAACCCAATGACTCCAAAAGTTGAATTTATTCGGTGTTGTGTTTCAAAAATACTCAGAGCTGACATCCCCCGATTTAGTTAACAATTGTTTTGAGATTTGATCGTGGATTCCGCCGACAATGATTAAGTCCTTGCATTCAATTTCCGCATTGCTATAGATAAGATTTCCTGCTCTAGCTTTCAATTGTTCTTAGGCAAGCTCAGTAATAGATTTTAAAAAAATTCTGAATCCACTTTTATTTTGCTGAATCCGCTGACATTTGCGGATTCTACTTCATTTTGTGGAATCCACTTACAGTTTCGGAAACCAGAACAACTAGTTAGTTATCCAGAACAACTAGTCAAGTATTTGTACGCGGAATCCACGGAAGTTTCGTAAATGGAATGCGCTGACATTTGGGAACATATTTAAAAGTTTGTCTATGGAATCCAGGAACATACAGATACAAAATTGTGCGCCTATCCAGTGCACATTTTGGCCTCGTAATGGATTGGTTCGCGAAAAGTGTAAGCTTTTCAATGAGAGCTCTTCCCGCTTAGAACTTTCAATTGTTTCACGTTTTTTCATGAACCGAATCGGTTCGCAAAATTTTCAAGTTGTTTGTAGACTGAATCGATTTGCGAAACTTTACATCTGTGCGCGATTTCAGTCTAAGTAAGCTGCTCTTTTGGATACTATCGTTGGTGCTGAGAACAAAACAAAAAAAAATTCCACCATAAAATATTCAGAAACCAGGTAAGCTGATTGTTCAAACTATTTCCTTATACGATGACTCGCTTAATTTAGCAATTAAATCTCAACCCAAATTCTACATTTCATCGAAAGTTTTCATACTAAAAACAAGTGGAGACAAATGCTTTGCCTTGATGCTCGAGCAGTCTTGCTTACACTTTGTTTTGTATTCACGAGGTGAATTTTTTCAGAAAGGAAACTTTTTCTTCCCTTGAATGTTATACGAAGCTTGGATCAGCTAAAAACTGCCGGCTCTAGTCTTGCGTCGGCCGAGTGTCCTCTAGTGGTGTCCAATAAAGTTTTGGGTTGTCTTGGAGCAGTTATTTTTCATACACATCATAGAGTTAGTTCAAATTTAAGCTTGCGTTGCGATGATTCTTTGGCCCAAGTCCTACAGTAAGAACAGAAATGTATTGACTGACCTTTTTCCTGACAGAATCATCTCTGGTTGAGTTTCGCATCTCCTGCAAAGACAACACGACATTTGTTAGTCACTTCTAGCTACAGGCTAATAGGGTGAATCAATTTTTGATTGTCGAGATGTGGCGTTAGACACACTTAAACAATACGATGAGGTGACCTACGTGCTTTCCTTTTTCAATTTATGCAGTTCTATCGGGCAAATAGGGAAATCTGTTTGCTTTTCAACAAAAACAGCAGCACGTTCCAATCACAGTTATCAATATGAAGAAAACATGAAAAAAAATGAAAACAATATTTCTAGTTGTTGAAGAGTTAACAAAATCTATGTGTTTAAGAAATTCTCCGAAATAATAAAGAAGATTCAGAATTTTTTCTGACCAAAGAAGATTCACAAAAATTAAAATATCCGCTGACTTCAATTCACTTCGTTTCGTGGTACCTGATTTTGTATGGCACGAGAGAAATAACTAATTAAATTCTTTGGCTAAAGTTTTTTTTTTCAGTTCGCTGTTCAACAAAATTGAGTGAAGCTCGAACTTCCTGCATATTAAAAAACGCTTGACACGAAACTCAAAACACTTGGTCCAAAAATTCAATTTATCTTGCTGACCGCGGGATGTCCCCCTTTTGTACTATTTTGAGATATCCATTTTTGATGATTGACCCACAAAATTATGATGGACGGCCAATATATACTAATTTCGAGGGGGAGTGCGCCGAAAAAAACGCAACTTTTCGGTCAATTTTTTCCAAAAAGTGCCTAAAAACGCCTTTTTCGGCCTTTTTCTTTCAAAGTTGACAAAATTTTCGAAAGTTAATGAAAATTCCAACCCCCCCCCTTCGAGAAAATCCTAGATCCGCCCCTGATCAAGTGTATGGAAAAAAGCTTGTCATAAAAATTTCTTACAATTTTTCGAAAAATGTCTATTAATTGAAAAAAGATTTAAGCTAATTTTTGCGCCTGTTTGATGCTAATGGCTTGAGTCAGGAGTTTGATTGTAATGGTTTGAGTCAGAAGAAACAAACGAATTTTTTTATTTTTGAAAAAAAATGCTAATTATAGTTCCCATATAACTAGTGTTTTTTTCCAACCGCAAATCGAAATTTGTACTCAAACAAACATTTTTCAAAAAAATTTCCAGCATGCAAAATTTAAGTTTCTGTATTCATAACGTAGTCCTGTGTACACCAATATTGGATTTTTTTTTCTTTTCCGCCTAATAACTTTTTTCAAAAACGCTAATAACTTTTTTTTTTTGAGTGGCATGTTTATGTATACCTTGTTTATTGTCTGAGAAGTTAAAAAATGAAAATTTGTCAAAATTTAAAAGTTTGATAATTTCTAGCAAGCCTGTCTCATGCAAAAAGTTAGATATTAGATAAAGTTAGATGTTAGATATTGTTCTGCTCAAGCTTTGAATTTTAAAACAATTCAAGTTATTTCATGTATCAAATCGGAGGGCGCAAAGTTAAAACTTTTCTAAGCAACATAATCCAGATATGAAACTCTGAGATATTGTATAAGTTATTTCATGTACCATTTCAGATGACAAAAAATTTAATTATTTCTATTCAAGCTACATGTAATTAAGCGATGAAACTTCAAATATTTCAAGTTATTTCAAGGCCAAATCAGTTTGCCTTAAGTTTGAAAATTTTCAAGCCAGCTTGAAATTTTGACATATTTCAAAATCATAGCATGAAGCGAACCAGTTTCTGTTAGTTTTTCAAGCAAGCTATTCATTGGATGAAACTTTAAACCATTTTGAATAGTTTCATGTAGCGAATCGGATGGCAAAATGATTAAAATTTTTCTAAGCGAGCTCTTGACGCTATGAAACTTGGAAACAAATTGAGGTATAATATACAGGTTAGAATCGGATAGCGAAAAGAAAAATTGTAGTTTTTCTAAACTAAATATTCAATTTAGGAAGCTTTGAAACGAATTGAATGGGATAGAAAACGTTAACCCTTTCACATTGAAGCTAATTAAGCAGGTTTTTAAAGCTAATTTCAGGTTTTTCATGTAGCACGTCGTTCAGCAAAAAAACCAATTGTTCATTAAGCTCTTCGATTTTTGAAATTTTCGCGGTAGTTTCAGACTAGATCGGTTCGAGAAAACTTTTCTGAGCAAGCTATTCAAGCTATTCAAGATAGTCAAGCTGTGGTTATATTTCAAGGTAATTCATGAAAGGAATCGGATTGCACAAATAGCTTAAGTTTTCCTATTGGAGCCAAAATAAACTTTTCTAAGCGAATTAGTCAAACAATGAACCTTTGAAAAATTTCGAGTTGTTTCATAGAGCAAAACAGTGCGCAAATTGTTTTAAGCACGCTATTGAAGCTAGAAAAAATTGAAATACTTTAATTTGTTTCTTAGACCTGAGGAGTTCGTGAAAAATTAGTTTGTATGAATGAAGCTATTCAAGCTATAAACATGAGTATTTCTAAGAGCAAGCTATGGGAGCAAAGAAAGTTCAAAAATTTTCAAGTTGTTTCTTAAACCAAATTGGTTCGCGAATAACGAAAGTTTTTCTGAGAAAGCTATTAAAGCTCAGAAACTTCGAAGCGCACTTCGAAAAATTTGTTAGAAAAGGTTTACGAAAAGTTTTGCTTAAGGAAACTTATAGATGCTTAAAGAATTTTTGCAAAACGATTCGGTTTATGAAATAGCATGAAACATTTTAAAGTTTTTCTGAGCACGCTATTCATGCGATTTAACTTCCAAATAAGTCAAGTTATTTTAAAGAGCAAATCGACTGGCGAGAAGTTTCGCGTTTTAATAGGTTTTGCAGTTTTTAATTGGTTCATTTTAGAACAACATCAATCTTAAAATAAAAAATTCGGTAAAATGGACAGGTCCTGAAAAACCTTGAAAACGAATTGAGTTCATGATGTCTGAAAAATTTGCATTTTTGTCAAAAATAACTCAAAATTATTCCAGACATAAAAAAAAGTTTGAAAGTTCTAGAATATTCTAGGACTTCTTGTTAACGTTAAGTATAAAGATGTTTTCAAATGTTGCATTCGACAAAGCCAAAACATTGCGTTTAGTTAATTATTGTGCACGTTCAGACTTTTATTTAAACTATGCTTGCGTAAAACGCACCTCCGGTACTCATAATAAACCGCATATATTGGAAATAAGACCTGCATTCTTTGAGTGTGCTTTGACAGCACCCAATTACATGAGTCGTGATTACAAATTTTCCAAAGATTTTATTCAAGTTTTTTATGCAAATTTTGAAGAAACAAAAAATTTTGTGAAGTTTTATATAAGTTCTTCGAAAAATTTAAAATGAACTAAGAAAAGTCACATCTGGGAAGCTAAACACAATTGAGCAGTCGCATTTGGACGCAAAATATACAACTCCTGAGAGTACTCTTACAGTACCAAACTACAGGGTTGGGAATTTCACTTAAGTTAACTATTTTGTAATTTGAGTTTTCTGAAAAATTCCCAAAAAATCACAAAAATTGTCGAATCTCTCAACTAAAAAATATAGGCATTCCTAATTGAAGGCTGAATTTGAAACTCCTGAAAATACTCTGAGAGCCCCCATTACAGGTTAGGATTTTCAAACTTTGAAAAAAAAATTGATTTAATTTTCATGAACTTTTTTTTTAAATCACAAAAAACGTCATATCTGGAAAACTGCAAGGTTTTGAGAAGTCATATTTGGAGGCAAAATGCACAACTTTTGAGAGTACCCTGAATGAGCCTCACTACTGACAACGTATTTTCAAGTTTTATGGAAAATATTTAAACACAAGTTCTCTGAAAAATTAAGAGAAAATCCTAAAAAACGTCATATCTCGAAAAGAACAAAATTTTGAGCAGACATGTTCAGAGGCAAGATTTGCAGCCCCATGAGAGTATCATGACAGATTCCAATAGGAGGATTGAAATCTTCAAACTTTTGGAACTTTCTAATATCTATTTTTTCTTTAAATTTCGGATAAAATGATAAAAAACGGCATATCTCAAAAACTAGAAGGATTTGAGCAGTCATATTTGGAGGCAAAAATAGCAACTCCTGAGAGAACCCTGACAAAAGTTCACCACCGAGATGGGAATATCAAATTTCGTGATTTTTTTAAATCTAAATTTTCTGAATTTTTCTTTTAAAAATCCAAAAAAAAACGTCATATCTCGAAAACTACAAGGATTTAAGCAGCCATAATTAGAGGCAAGGTTCGAAACCCTGAGAATACCCTCACGAATTCCAACAACAGGACTGAGATCTTCAACGTATTGGAATTTTTTTCAAAATACAGATTTTTGAAAAAAAATTTTGAAAAAAAAATCATATCGCAAATCAGAATCGCAAAACTTGGGAAAATTCTGACAACATCCAACTATTTTGTTGCTAATTACAAATTTGATGAACAAAAATCTGAATTTAAATGGGAAAATCGAAAAAAAACCTTAACCATTGCAATATACGATATCGCTTAAACGTGAAAAAATGCTTTTGTTAAAGATGCAAAAAAAACAGGTTGAAAAAGCTTTATCATGGCAAGATAGTGAAGCCCGCATTTAAATACATAATAATAGATAATAGATTTGATAGAGAAAAGTTTTTAAAAAATTAGGAGACGGGTAGATAGACATAATCAAATTAATTAAAAAAAGCAGGTATACAGACAGACAGACAGACAGACAGACAGACAGACAGACTTAATTTTGACTCGAAAAAAATTAGTGAAAAATTTCTGACCTTGTGGGAAAATTAAAGAAACATTTTCTTAAGCCTTGCAATACATGATATAGCTTAAACATGCAAAAAATTCTTTCGTTAAACATGCAAAATTATTATGCTCAAACATGGGAGATAGCTTTCACTAGCATTTAAATATAGTATAGATATAGAAGACTAGCCAGCCTGTCTCTAACAATCAATGGGCTCACAAACAATTAGTTGTTAGTCTTATCACGCTATCCAAGCAATGAATCTTTAAACAATTTCAAGTTAAGCCATATGGTGCGCGAAATGTTGAAGTTTTTCTACCCAAGCTGTTCGAGCTTTTTAACTTCAAA